TTTTGGGTTGAATAGAACAATTTTTACTGTTTTTCAAATGTTGCAATAGATTTTTATAAAGACTAAGCAAAGAAACAGTGCGAAGATTGAGCAGAAAAAAAGTGACATAATAGGAAATTTAAGCAATTAATCTTTGAAGTAAATCAAATACCAAGGATATTATAAACGCCAAATTTGCCGCATGAATAACGTAAATGTCCACTGATCCAATGTTCGTCCTTTAAAATAACAAAATTTTAACTTTATTTTTACCAATAAAATGTTACTTAAAATTATAAAAAAAAAAAAAAATTTTTGTAGCTATTAACCAATATAAATCTATTCAACTTCCTCACTCAGCAACTGTTTTTTTTTTTTTTTTTTTCTTTGAAGTTAACAGTTCTGATAACCATTTATTATTTGAATAAAATAAAAGGCTTATAATAATGAAATCTTTTAAAACTTTTTTCTTTGATTTTACTTGGGTGTTTTCAGCTGCTGTAATTTTTAAAATTTTGCAGTTGGCAATAAAAATAAAACAAAGAAAAAACATTATCAATAAATAAAAAAGTTTGCAAAAGTTTACAGAAATTTGTTTGATAAATTATCTTAGGCTAAAATCCAGTGAAGTATATAAATCGAACAAAAAAGAAAAAACGAGACAAAAAATCTGTTCCTCTTTTATGGCACCATTATTCAACGGTTGAAAATTTTCTATTAAAAGCTAAATTAACAAAGTTTTCTTCTTTTTTTTTTTGTTAACGCTTAATACAATTTTTGTTTCTTATTTATTTTCAACTGAAAATAATCGTTTGCCTAATTTAGTGATATCAACGAAGTAATGTGACAATGACAGTAACTTATGAAAAAAAAAAAAAAAGCTATAAGCAGTGAAAGATTAAAGACTTTTGCGATCAACTCAATATAATGAACAAAACCAATGTTATATGAAGAAATAAGAAAATAAAACTTTTTTTCTGTAGTCATCAGATTCAGAAGCCAATGTAAAAGACTGATTTAGTTTTGTTATATTATAACATCTGCTACAATACAGATGAATTTCAGTTTTTGGCTTTTATTTTTCTGCAACATGTTGAACAGTTTTTTGTGTAGCTGTAACTTTTGAGCAATGGAACAAGAAATGAAGAAGCAAGAGTTATGTAGATATGAAAATGCGAACTAAAGTAAGATACGCTAATAATGGTTATAGTTTGTTTTTTTTTTTGTTTCATACTTGTTTATAAATTTTGCCCCGATGAGTACAGTTTGTTGGATATGTAATTAGGGTAGTGGTTATTTGTTGCGTTGAAATTGGAAAACTGATATGTTGAACGACTGTTGCCGGATACAGCGTAGTTTCAAGTGTTTCGTTTATTGCCAACTTCTGACAGTTAACCAGACAAAGAATTTGCAACACTACTGTCGCTATTAAGAGTACCATTCTGAAAAAAAAAAAAAAGCTAAAAAAAATTGTATAAACAAAAGGTATTTTATCAATTCATTTGGTTATGTTTACCTTTACAATGATATATAGCTGCAGACACATTCTACAAAAACTGTTCTTTGATTTTAGACAGTTGAACTGCATAAGCAGATAGAACGAAAATAAAGTAACAAGTGAAGAAATAAGATTGAAGAACAAGAAAGAAAAAAAAAAAATTACATTAACTGATATTGCAATCAATTTTTTGACCGCTGTTGACACAAAAACGCTGAACCGTATAAAGTTACTCCTTAATGTTGACTATGTTTCAATAAACACCTTTAATCAGCGATGCATCTCTCTATACAACATTTTTTTTTTTCTTATTTTTCTTCCTTATCTACTCTTTTTT